TTCTGCTGAGTTGAAGCTCAACTCCCCACCCGCCTTTGGTTGAGACGGACACAAGCTTCATGAATCTCTGGAGAATGACTCTTGACATTTGAAATCTCTTTCTGCCCACATCTCTTTATACTCCCCGCCCCCCAGATTATTTCCTCTTAGAATGAATGAATGCAACCCCACACTCCTTTCCTTCCCCACTCATTTCCTTGTTCTTTTTTGAGGTCTTTTCCTGGGTTAGCGTTACCTAGCAAGTTCTAAACTGAACGCCTGGGCCAAACATTCGGGCCGAAAGCTGCTGAGTTGTTAAGGGTTGGATGGGGACTGAAGGAGAACATTGGGGTGAGTGGAGAAGGCTTCTCATACTGGGAAGCCTGGCTGGGTTTCAAGAGGGGGGTACTGTTGGTGGTGTGGCCAAGTTCCAAATGTTGGACTGCAGCCAGTGCTCAAAGAAAAGGGGCCCTCAAGACAGTCTAAATGGCTCCCTGTGGGAAGTGACCTCCCAGTCCTTCTCCAGAAAATGCATGGGTTTCCCTTGGATCCTCAAAGATGAGAGCAGTCAAGTCATTTCCCCAGCGATTCCTCTCAATCACATTTATATTCTCTCTCTCCCAGCCACTCCCATAGTTCAAGCTTTGGCTACAGCCAGAATTCAGAGGCAGGCAGAAGGATTCCAGTGCTGGAGACGTGGGTGGGGTGAGAAAGTCCTCGTGTTGTGTGTGTTGGGGAGGAAGAGACTGACCCTGGGACATATGCTCCAAGGCTCTGCTGCCAGATGAGGTGGAGGGAGAAGTTAACCCTGCAATGTGTTCTGGAAGTGTTTGCCTGTGTAAGCTAGAGGCAGCAGCTGGAAAATGTGTAATCTGGGGAAGCTGAAAAACAGGGATCCCAGATGGAGGCAAAAAAGGTTGTTAGAGGGGGAAGGGGCTGGAGAAAGCCCCAGCTTCCACTGAGGTAGGGCTGAAGCCTTTGCTGGGCCTGGACATTAATCAATTTTTAAAATTATTTTGAAATGGTTATAGGCTCAGAGGAAGTTGCAAAAATAGTACATGAAGTCCTGTGTACCCTTCACCCAGCTTTCCTCACTGGTGACATCTGATATAACTGTAGCACAATATCAAACCCAGGAAGCTGACATAGGGACACTGTTCACTAGCTTACAGGCCTTATTCAGTTTTCATCAGTGTTCTACATGCATTCATTTGTGTGTGTCAGTGTGTGCATGTGTGTGTAGTTCTATGCAGTTTTAGCCCGTGTATAGATTTGAATACCACCAAAATCAAGATACAGGGGCGCCTGGGTGGCTCAGTCGGTTAAGCGGCTGCCTTCGGCTCAGGTCATGATCCCAGGGTCCTGGGATCGAGCCCCATGTCCGGCTCCCTGCTCAGCAGAGAGCCTGCTTCTCCCTCTCCCTCTGCCTGCCACTCTGCCTACTTGTGCTCTCTATCTCTCTGTCAAATAAATAAATAAAATCTTTAAAAAAAAATCAAGACACAGATCTCTTCATTACCACAAAGGAACTTCCTGTGCTATCTCTCTTTTTTTTTTTTTGGCATTTATTTAATTTATTGAGAGAGAGAGAGAGAGCACAAAATGGGAGGAATGGCAGAGGCAGAGGGAGAGGGAGAAGCAGACTCCCCGCTGAGCAGGGACCCCCCCCCCTAGACTTGGGGCTGGGTCCCAGGATCCCATGATCATGACCTGAGCCGAAGGCAGACGCTTAACCGACTGATCCGTCTAGGCGCCCCTATTTATTTATTTTTGAAGTGTAATTAACACACGATGTTATGTTAGTTTCAGGTGTAATGTGCTATCTTTTTATTCTCACCTCCTCCCATCCCTGTCCCCTGGCAGTCAATAATCTCTTTGTCATCTCTATAGTTTTAATTGGTTTTAATTTCATGAATTTCCAAACTCTTGATTCAAATACAAGAAGTTCTTGGCAGGTTGTTTATTCAAACACCGAGCTTCATTCTCCAGATCTCCCTCTAGCTTCTTCATTCCACTCCCCCACTTCACCTACAACCTTGTGCCCCATTCCAACAATCTGGTCTTCACTTCTCCTTTAGGGAAAATCGACATGTCTAAATTTACTAGGCTGGTCTAGGACTCTTACATTCCCCCGCCCTCCCTTGCCCCACTATTTATAGCCAGGCTAATTTTGGGCAGCCTCTCTCTCTTTTCCTGCTCCTTCCTAGTGTGGTGGGTGAGATGACTTCTCAAATATTTGGGCAGAGGAGGTCAGGAGCAGATTCTTGGCATCTGATTTCAACCTTGGATTTAGCAGGAGCCAGTGGGGTGAAGAGAAGGGAGGCAGAAGCCGCAGGTGCAGAGAGGAAGGCACCTGGGCCTCTAAAGGCATTTGACCCACGTTGGAGATCTCGGCTCAGAGTCAGGAGTCCTGGGTTCTATACTGATTTGACTACTCTGCATTCTCATATCAGCTCTACTGTCTGGGGCTCTAAGATGGAAAAGGGGTAGAGAGGGCAGATCTGGGGGATAATAAAAGGATCCTGGTGCCGGCTTGCTGGCAGCACATGTGTTTCCTCGATAGCCCCTAGTTAGAGCTGTGCTAGTCCCCTTGAGGGAATGTCTGCAGTATACTGTTGCAAAATCAGAGGCTCAAATCTTCAAATGTATAGCAACTTACCCAAGGCAAGGATTGTCCCAGGGCCAGCAGAGAGAGCGCCTACCTTTCTGTTTGTTTTTAAAAGTATAGTCTTGGAAAAAGAAGTAAGAGAGACAAAGGGAGCATGGGAAGAGAAATTAGGTAGGGTGCATTGGGGCTTTTAAGAAAGTGAGGGAGAGGGGCACCTGGGTGGCTCAGTTGTTAAGCATCTGCCTTTGGCGCAGGTCATGATCCCAGGGTCCTGGGATCGAGCCCCGCATCGGGCTCCCTGCTCGGCGGGAAGCCTGCTTCTCCCTCTCCCACTCCCCCTGCTGTGTTCCTGCTCTTGCTGTGTCTCTCTCTGTGAAGTAAATAAATCAAATCTTAAAAAAAAGAAAGGGAGGGAGAAAAGAAAATATTTAGAAAAATTTCATATTTAAATAATCTCTCCCCCCAACGTGAGGCTCAACCTTATGGCTCTGAAGTAAGAGTCGCATGCTCTACCACCTGAGCCAGCCAGGCACCCCATGAGAAGAGAACATCTTTTTTTTTTTTTTTTAGATTTTTATTTATTTGTTTGTTAGAGAGAGTGAGTGCGAGAGAGTGAACAAAGGTACAAGCAGGGGGAGCTGCAGGCAGAGGGAGAAGCAGGCTCCCCGCTGAGCAGGGAGCTCGATGCGGGACTCGATCCCAGGACCTTGGGATCATGACCTGAGCCGAAGGCAGATGCTTAACGACTGAGCCACCCAGGCGTCCCGAGAAGAGAAAATCTTAAGGATGTGATAGACTTGGAGGAACAGAGACAACATTGGAGACATTGAGAAGTCTTCAGAGAAGGGTTCCAAGTGATAGAGACAAGAAAGGGGACAAAAATAGAGCTTGGGATGAGACAAAACCAGATAATGAGAGAGGGAAGGGAAAGATGGATAGGTGGATATACAGAAGACCAAAACCCAGTGAGAAGAGGAGGTGAGAGCAAGCGAGGTTCCAGTTGTGCCAAATTATTTCCTATCTCTCCTCCTGGCCCCATTTCTGGATTGGAGTTATAAATAGCAGAGGGCTGGAAAATGTCCCTCCCCCCCCCCCCCCCGCTTTGCTTCTGTCTTAGCCTGGGGGGAAGGGAGAGGAAGAGAGACAGGCTTGCGGGTCCCTGTGGAGATCCTTGCAAAGCCCCACCCAGATCCTTCATGGATCAGCCTGGGACACTGCCCTCTCCAATCCTTTCCCGTCAGAGGTGGGAAACGGACAGTTCAGGGAAGGGGGTCTGTGAGTCGAAGACATCCTTTCCATCTCTCTGCCTCTTGGGTCCAATCTTTTTCATCCTTGCCCTTGCTCTTCTTTGACCCCACTCCCTCTTCCCCAGCTTAATTAATTTCCTCTTCCTCTATCAATCACCCTCAGTAATTTTCTTTTCTCCCTTCATTCCATTCCATTCCATTCCTTTTTTTTTTTTTTTGTAAGCTCTATGCCCAAAGTGGGGCTGGAACTCACCAGCCCGAGAGGAAGAGTCGCGTGCTCAACGCACTGAGGCAGCCAAGACCCCCCCCGCCCCCACCATTCCTTATTGATCAAACTCTTGCCCTTCTTTCTCCATCTCTTTTCTCTGTTTTCTTTCTACCTGCCTCCTTTGCTCTCCTCCCTAGACCTGCTGAGTTTCTCTCTCCCTTGCTGCCTCTGTCTTTTCCTCAGTTCTCCTGAATGCTGACGATGTGGCTAGCATAGCCGTTGTCACTGCCGGGCTCTCGGGGGTGGGATGGGATGGGGCGGGATGTGGTTTGATTCGAACAGCATGCTAGGCGCTCTACGTGACCATGGAGAGAAGGGAGCACCAAAGGACCACACAGGACCCTGCCCTTTCATCTCCCTGTCTGCATCTCTCTTCCCAGACTGTCCTTTAGCCTCAAGCACTTCTCATTTCTTACCCTCCTTTCTCTTTTTCGGTCCCTTTCTATCTGTACTTGTCTCTCCCTCCCCATCCCCAGGCGCCGCCCCCACCACTCGGGGGCTAGGGCAGGAGTGGGGGGGGGGAAGGGCAGGAGCGCGCAGGCGGGGGCGGGGCCAAAGCCCGGGTGGGGATCCTGGCGAGCAAGGCCGGTTACCACCCCGAGTCGCCAGCCTGGACCTCCCTTTGCGACATCGCGAAGCCTCCACCTGCCGCGCGAGCGAGGGGCGGGGCCGAGGGCGGGGCCGGGGCGGCGCCCCTAGGGGAGGAGGCGGGAGCGGGAGCGCTCGCCTGGCCTGGGGCTGCTGCAGTCGTCCTAGCCGGTGCTGGGGCAGCGGGGGACGCGGCGGTGGAGTGGCGGGAGAGGGGTGGGGAGGAGAGAGATTGCGAGAGCCCTGAAAGACGTGCGAGACTCGAGACCAGAGACCCGCCGTGGGAGACCCGGGGCTGCGGGAGCGAGCGAGTTTTCTCGCGCTCGTGCGGAGCGCGCCCAGGGTTCGCCGCATGGCCGGGACTCCGGGCCGTGATCCTCGGGGCGCCCCCGGGATTTGTTACCTTCTTGGCTCCCTGCTGGCCGGACTGCTCGCCCCAGGTGCCGTCGCCTTCAATCTGGACGTGATGGGCGCCCTGCGCAAGGAGGGCGAGCCGGGTAGCCTCTTCGGCTTCTCTGTGGCTCTGCACCGGCAGTTGCAGCCCCGACCCCAGAGCTGGTGAGTCACCGCACCCGCCCAGAGTCCCCGTGCCCGAGCCACAGATTTCCCCCCAACACCCCACCCCATCTCTCATTCTTCCAACCCCACGACGACTCAGGGTATCCACAGATATCCAGTACTTCGACCTTGCCTTACCTGTGTTGGGTCTGGAGACGTACCCTCAGGGCCTGAGACTCAGAGTCTTGCTTTGGGGATGAGTTGGAGAGAGAGGCTCTTGTCTTGGCAGGTTTCCCCCAACTTGCATCCTTGCCTCAGTCCCAGGGTCTGGGACTCCCCTCCTTCAGAGGGCTGGATTCCCTCAGGAAGGGGGACTGGACATCTTGTCTCTGCTTAGGGCAGGAGGAGAGGGAAAGGACAGAGAGGTTGAAGACACCATGGGAGGGATGGAGGGTAGACTCCAGAAATAACTTCCCGTCAGAGCATTGCCATGGGGTGGGATGAAGACAGCAGGACACCGGAGGCCAGGAGAGCCCTGCCATTTTATTCTGTGGCTCAAGACCACGGGGAGGTTGGAAGAGGACCTGGGAGGGTATGGCAGCCGGTACTAGACGGTTTGATGATAGAATGACAGGAAGCAGAGCCCCCAAAAGTTGTAGCAGAAGCAGCAGCAGTGAGAGAGAGAGAGAGAGAGAGAGAGAGAGAGAGAGGGAGAGAGAGAGGGAGAGAAAGAGGGATCCAGAAGGGATGCTGGCCAGGTTGTTCTCCTTCTTCCCCCTCAGGAAATTTCAAGGTCTAGGAATCTCAGTAGTGGGGGAAGGCAGGGAGGAGTGAGGGGCAGAGGACAATTCTAGTTATTTTCTAATCAGTTCAGGACTCATGCGAGATGGACACATGTGTGTGGGGCCTGTGTCTGTTATGTTTCCTGTGCTGTTGGCTCCAGCTACATGTATGATTTTAAAAAGAGAGACAAGGGGAAGGAAGCTTCCCACCCCCTCCTGCCAGGGGGCTTTTCTTTCCTAGGCTGGTGCCTAAGGCACACTAAGTGTCCATTACTGGGATCAATGCCGTCCACTGGGATTATCTTCTCCCCGATACCATTGGCTTGGGGGCAGAGGGTAGGGACAGGAGCTCATTTCTCTTACCCCGCTCGAGGAGGAGGGGCTAGCTCTAATCTTTCTTCTTCCATTATCCCTGTCATCAGGGATGGTCAGTGGTCGCCCAAACTTTGGGAGAGATAGAAAGCAACTGACTTCATCTCTTCTTCAGCCCTTCTATCTGCTTCCTACCTCATCTCTGTCTCCCTCCCTCCCTTCTTCCCCCATCAGCCCGAGTTCCAGGACTGGAGGCCTTTTTAGGACATGCTGAACTCTCTGAGCTATTTCCAGGCAAATTCTGGGTTATTTTTAATAGCTTGGTCTCTTGTTATTTACCCCTCCTCTCTGAAGATGGCCCCTGATTCAGGCTCCAAGAGGCAAGCTGGGGGCTTTCCCAGGGGAGCCTGACTGCCTGACCCTGCTTTTGCTCCAGCAAGGGGTGCTCTGCTGCCTGGTGGCACATGAGAGACCAGGGGCCTTGCTCAGTCCCTAGCTTGGGAGTTGCAGGTCGCCTTCACCAGCATCCACTGATTGAAAGGCCTCACCCGTTTTGATGTCTTTCAATCTTGCCCCTGGATGAGACTTTGAAATCTAACCTTCTTTGCTCTGTGGCTTCAGCCTCATTTATATCTTTCAACTGTAAAACGGAGTTAAGCAGTAGTACTACCAGATAGTTGTGGGGTTTAAGAGTTCTTAGTATATATAAAGCCCTTAGAATAGCGCGAGGCCCAGAGGGAGTGCTGTGAAAGTGTTAGCACTGTGATTCGTGTATCGTGCTCCACAGAGCTAGAGAATAGCTTCAGTGCCTTCCTGCAAGCCTGGATCCAAACGCTTGGCTGGATCACCCTGGTTGAGTCAGCCTTCAGGCCAAGCACCCTCCCCAGAGGGCCACCCAGATTGAGAGTCAGGGAGGGCAGGCCTTGGGTCAGAGCCCTGGAGTGTGTGCAGAATTGAGAGGTGCGGTGGTAGTGGGCTACTCCTTTGCTTCCACTTAGCCGGGCTCCTAGGGAATCCCTCTGCCCCCAGCTGCCAACATGTTCTTGCTTTTGCCTGCAGTGGCTGCAGCTGAGGCTCTTGTTCTGTCCGGAGGCCTGGGGTGGCTGGGGATGGTGGGATGAAGCCAGAAAAGTATGTGGTGGGTGCAGAGGTGGAGGGACTAGAGAGGCTGCGTGTGGGAACTCTTGTTCCAGGGAGGGTGGGCTGGTCTGTTCCGCACTGAGAGTGAGGCTGGCCGTATGTATGTGCACCAGCTTCTTTCCTCCATATGGACCCGTTCCCTCCACCCTCCTCCCTACTCTAGACCTCTAGGGGAGATGTGAACACTGAACACTGATATTAGCTTCTCTTGGTGCTTAGCTATGTGCCGACCAGCTGAGGCACCACGTGAATAAGAGAGTCCCAGTCCTCTAAGAGATGACCATCTCTGAGTTTGGAGGTGGGGGGATACTCCGGACTTGTCTGAAAGTTGGCCGTGCCACCTGGTTTCCTTTTCTGTGTGGGGTACCCTCCCCTCCCCTTCCCTTCCTTCTGTTCTTTTTCTGGAGTGGTCTGTCTCAGTGTTCTGGAGATGGCCCGTCATTGGGTATGGTGGAAACGCATGGGTTTTGGAATTAGGCGGATGTGGATTTGAATTCCAGCATCCTGCTTAATGCGTCTCAGTGAGTTTCCTCGTCCGAAAGACAAGAAAAGAATCCTCACATAGGATTGTCATGAAGCTTAAATGAGAGCATGCGTGAAAGCTGCCTAGCCTGATGTCTGGAGCATTAGGTAGAGGGTGAACAACGTTAGTTCCTCATATCCCTGGCATCTAGCCTAGGGCCTGACCCATAGTAGGTGCTGAATAATGTCACTGCCTTGTCTCACCAGTGCCTGACACAGGGCTTGGCAGGCAATGGGTTCTCAGTACATAGTTGTTAATGAATGCCGAACGCATACCCTCTTCCTTGCCACTCCCCGCCCCCTGCTTGGTCTGGACACCGGCTCTGATGCGGGACGACAGCTGCTAAGAGACCAGAGCTGTGGGAAGGGAGAGTGGCTCTGTGCCCTCCCCTCCCCCTCAGGACTGGCCCAGTGCCCCGTAGATGCCTGTCTGCAATATTGCCTGAACAGCTTCGGGCCCTGTCCCCCAGCAAGGGAGAGGGAGGAAGAGAGTGTGGGAGAGAGGCCTCGGGGTTTGCCCTGCCTCCACTTTTGAGTCTCTCCTTCTGTGAAGAGAGATCCCTGTAGTCAGCCGCGTGCCAGTCACCTCACCTTACCCCTTCCTTCACTCCTGGCCTGGGGTTCAGCCCCAGGGGACCCAGGCAGCCTCCATTCCCAGCACAGTCCTCCCCTGGGGAAGAAGCCTTGGCTGTGATCATGGAAAATTGTCCTGCCAAGAAAGTTATAGCTGGGAAAGTGTCTGAGGGGGAGGTAGGAGAGAGGACAGGGTGGGGGCAGGGAGGGTGGGAGGAATGGGGAAAATCATGGATGTGGGGAGCGGAGGGACGATGGGAAAGGGGATTCAGGGTATGGGCAGAAAATGGGGGTAGGATGGGAGACAGATGAGGAACTTGCCCCTACCTCCATGCCAGCTAGAGTGACAGATAGAATCCCGGGCTGGCCGTGTTGCTGGGAGGATGGGGTCTCTGATGGGTCCCTGATGGGTCCCTGATGAAGGGTGATGAAGGACAGGCCCATATCTAGCCCCTTGCTTGGCCTCTGAAGCTGGTCCCTGGGCCACCTCGTGGTGCCAGTCTGGGCCCCTGTTACTTTTGCTCTTAGTATTCTTGGCATTTCTGGGAGGGTTCCAACTGGACTGGGTTTGGGGAGGAGGGCAGAGCTTGGGGATGGGGCCAGGAAGTGGGTAGGAAAGGCCTGGTCAGGAACAGGTGCTGGGAACAGGCGGTTCTTTCAAAAAGCTGCGCTGGCCAGGCCACTTGGTTTGGCGCGCGTGCGTGTGTGTCTGTGTGTGCGTATCTACGGGGCACATGGGCCCTCATCCAGATAGTATGTGCATATATAATGTGATGATTGCATGGCCAAGTGTATTAATTTGCCCTTGCCAGGACTTGGGGGACGTGTCTTCTGGCCTTCCTCCTTAGTTCTTCAACATTTCCTTGGTTCTGAGGGGTCGGGTCTGGGCAGCGCTGGGGAGGCACGGCACTCTGGCTGCCAACTCTGGCCCCTGCCCCATTGTGCAGGCTGCTGGTGGGTGCTCCGCAGGCCCTGGCTCTGCCTGGGCAGCAGGCGAATCGCACCGGAGGCCTCTTCGCTTGCCCCCTGAGCCTGGAAGAGACTGACTGCTACAGAGTGGACATTGACCGCGGAGGTGAGGACCCCGCAGGATTGGGGAGGGGGCATGGCACAGGAAGGGAAGGGGGAGGACTCGGCCTCCTCTTCCCTCTCCTTATTCCCACTGTCCTGCCTCCAGCTGATGTGCAGAAGGAGAGCAAGGAGAACCAGTGGTTGGGAGTCAGTGTTCGGAGCCAGGGACCTGGGGGCAAGATTGTCGTGAGTACCATTTCTTGTGCCTGTATGCCAGGGCGGGTGTGTGCGTGTGTATATGGTGTGTGCCTGTGCGCAGGTGTGCTTATAGAACACAGGTTGGCATGTGGTATGATGGCCTCATTCCCAGGACCAAAGGTACAAGACATGGTGCCTGTCCTTAAAATTTTAAGACTGTCTAAGCATCCATCTATCCATTTGTCAAACTCTTACTGAGAACCTTTTAAGCCTCAGGCATTGTGCTAGTTACTGAGAGAGGAAACGTAAAGATGGGAAAAAGCCTGGTCCATGGCTCACAAAGCCTACTGAATGGTTCTGGAGACTCTCGTTCTCTGTTTTTCTGTGTCTGTTTCTCTCCGTATCATCACTAACACGTGCAAACGCAATTAATAATCAGAGTCACCGTAGGGCGGAATAGGGTTAATGTTTTTAAAGAATTTTTAAAATTTTTATTTATTTGAGAGCTTGAGAGTGAGAGACAGAGCATGAGCAGGGGAAGAGGGAGCAGACTCTCCGCCGAGCCGGGAGCCCGATGCGGGCTCGATCCCAGGACCCCGGGATCATGACCCGAGCGGAAGGCAGACGCTTAACCGACTGAGCCACCCAGGCGCCCCAGAATATGGCTAATGTTAAGTGAGCAGTACAGTCCCCAGTATGTGAAAGTCCAAAGGAGGAGCGGAGAGAAAAGACTCCTGTGGGGGCAGTGGGGGGTAGAGTTCAGCCAGCCTTTCAAGAATAAGCAGTGCTTCAGGAGTGGAGAGAGGAGGAAGTTCTTCTCAGGCAAAGTGGTGGCACTTACAAAGGTCCTGAGTCAGGACCAGCTTGGCCTGTCGGGGATAGGCACATATGGGGTGCTGTGTGCTGGCTTAGTGGGGCCTGGGTCCCCAGGCAGAACGTGGAACAAGGCTTCTTCCTAGCAGCGCAGGGAAGTGAGTGCAGATGGGATAGGTATGTGTGTATCGCCTAGCACTGGGCTGGGGGGTGGTGCCCAAGTGATGTGTGTGTGTCTGCGTGCTTGTCTGCACAGGGGCTGCGTGGCTCCAGCGGGTCACCGGCCCACATGGGGGTGGGGGGGGCGGATGACCCCGCGTCGCTTCCTCCCACAGACCTGCGCACACCGGTACGAGGCTCGGCAGCGAGTAGACCAGCTCCTAGAGACCAGGGATGTGATTGGTCGCTGCTTTGTGCTAAGCCAAGACCTGGCCATCCGTGATGAGCTGGATGGTGGGGAATGGAAGTTCTGTGAGGGGCGCCCCCAGGGCCACGAACAATTTGGGTTCTGCCAGCAGGGCACAGCCGCTGCCTTCTCCCCCGACAGCCATTACCTCCTCTTTGGGGCCCCGGGAACCTATAACTGGAAGGGTGAGTCACTCCTCAGGGAGGGGAGAAGGGAACCAAAACGTCCTCTTACCTCAGAGATGGGATTGGGGGCAGCACGTGGCCAAGCATGCCCACACGCTCACTGCCATGTCGCCCTGGGGCACTGCCGCGTCCTCCACCCCCATCATGCCAGCACACGCACAAGTCGGGGAGTCTCCCCGCCTTCGAGTGGCTGAGTGTTCCCCACCACACTGGCACGAGCCCCCGCACGCACGGCTGGGCCTGCTCGCTCCAGCACGCCAGCCCCACGGCGTCACCCCCTTTCCCGTCTCCGCACGCTGCCGCTGGCTGAGCTGACACTCGGTGAGTGGGGCGGCAAGTCTGTGGGGCCGGCGGCTTGGGCTGGGGAAGGGGTAGAGATAGGGCTGCGAAGGAGAGGAGGGGCTTCCCCGTGCGCCTGCCTAACTGGCACCTGGCCTGAGAGGTGCTCCTCGCCGCCTGGCCCGGGCACTAACAGGTCTGTCCTTGCAGGCACCGCCAGGGTGGAGCTCTGTGCGCAGGGCTCAGCGGACCTGGCGCACCTGGACGACGGGCCCTACGAGGCGGGGGGTGAGAAGGAGCAGGAACCCCGCCTCATCCCGGTCCCTGCCAACAGCTACCTTGGTAGGGACCCCTCCCTGGCCCAGAGCGGCTCTAACCCTCTGCTCCTCTCTCTTGTCCTCCCTCCCCACGCTCCCATCCTTCTGTCTCTCTGTCTCTGTCTCTCACCCTTTCTCTCTCTGTCTCCCTGTCTCTGATTCTTGTATCTCTCGTCTCTTTGTCTCCCTCGTGTTCGTTCTCTCCCTCTTCCTCTCCTATCTCCTTCTTCTTGCCTTTGTGTCTGGCTCTGTCTCCCCACTCTGTGGCCCCTCCTCTGGATGTCCCTTCCCTGGTGTTTCCCCCCACCTGCCCCCCGCAGGGTTGCTCTTTGTGACCAACATTGATAGCTCTGACCCTGACCAGCTGGTGTATAAAACTTTGGACCCCGCTGACCGGCTCCCAGGACCAGCCGGAGACTTGGCCCTGAATAGCTACTTAGGTTTGTAAGCTTCCACCACGTCCCCCTGGGCCCTGCGGGCTTGGCCTGGCCTCCCCTCCTCTGCTGCCCGACCCTCACCAACAGACACCCAGGGAAATACATATTGGGCCCAAATTTCAAAGAAGAGCTAGGCCCAGTGACCAGGCCCCAGAAGATGCCCCAAGGGGGATGGCCTAGGGGGCTGTGAACAGGGGTCTCCATGGAGGAAGAACCAGGTGGGTTGAGGCTGTACTGGGAAAGGAGGGTAGAGCTCTAGTGGGACTTTCTCTGAGGGATGGATAGTGGGCACATGCCAGAGAAAGGTCTATCCTTGTTGGTAAGTCCCTCTCATTGTTTCGTCTGCAGCCCTGTGCAAAGGGGGAGGAAACCAGGCCTGGGGGATGTTTGGGTGAATCAAATTCTTTCCCACTCCCCCTTCCCTCCCCTCTATCCACATGAAGACTTCCTTTCCCTGCCAGCATGGACGGAGCTGGGGGTGCAAAGAAGGTGCATTAGATGGGGCTGGGGCCTCCTGGGTGTGCAGAAGGTAGAGCAGCCCCCTGGGGATCTTCGGCGTTGCACCCTGCTCAGCTCTTGCCCAGCCGGCTGGCCTTCCTAGCCATTGCCTTTCTCCTTCTTCCCCAGTCCCTGAGGCTGACCTCATTGCACTTCTTGTGTCAAATTCTAGTCTCTGGGTGTGGGAGGGCTGCCAGGCCTTGGGAGGGGGAGGCAGGGCAGTCCAGCTGTGGTGGTGATAACTTGGAGGGCACCTGTACCTTTTGGCTCCAGACCTGTGAGGAGGGGGCAGAGTGCGGGAGGGCGGTGCCTGGGCGCAGCTAGGCTCCTGAGTCTTTTGGGGAGGGCTCACTGGTAAGTCACCCCACCCAGGTTTCTCCATTGACTCGGGGAAGGGTCTGGTGCGTGCAGAGGAGCTGAGCTTTGTGGCAGGGGCCCCCCGTGCCAACCACAAGGGTGCTGTGGTCATTCTGCGCAAAGACAGTGCCAGCCGCCTGGTGCCCGAAGTTATGCTGTCTGGGGAGCGCCTGACCTCTGGCTTTGGCTACTCGCTGGCTGTGGCTGATCTCAACAATGATGGGTGAGAATGGGCACAGGGGAGTGGAGCCTGGGGGAGGCTGGGCGGGCCTCCAGCATCTTTCTGACTGCCGTGGCTGGGGAAGGAGCCACACTGACTGTTTCCCTCTCTCCATAGCTGGGCAGACCTGCTAGTGGGTGCCCCCTACTTCTTTGAGCGCCAAGAAGAGCTGGGGGGTGCCGTGTATGTGTACATGAACCAGGGGGGTCACTGGGCTGGGGTCTCCCCTCTCCGGCTCTGTGGCTCTCCTGACTCCATGTTCGGGATCAGCCTGGCTGTCTTGGGGGACATCAACCAAGATGGCTTTGCAGGTGTGACTGGGAACTGGAAAGCCCCGGGGGAGGGAGGGTCAGAGGCAGGGATGGGGAAGCACCTCAGAGTTCCGGGGGAGGCCTTCTGACTGCTCTGGGAGAGAAGCAACCTAGGCTGGCATCTGAGCTTTGCCATTTACCAGCTTTGTGACTTGGGTCAAGTAAACTTTCCGAGCCGGTAATATCTGCAGAGAGTAGCTAAGAGGCTTAAAAATGATGTGTGTAAGATGCCTGGGACTTAGTAGCCTCTCAATAAAATAAAAAACATAGTATATGGAACTGAGTGACTGAGGGAAGGTTGGGGTCCGGATGACTGCCCCCCCCCCCCCCCCCGTCTGATTACCTTTTTTCTCATACCCACAGATATCGCTGTGGGGGCTCCCTTTGATGGGGATGGGAAAGTCTTTATCTACCATGGGAGCAGCCTGGGGGTTGTCGTCAAACCTTCCCAGGTGAGGGAGTTCGTTGGGATGAGGTGTGGGAGGAGTAGGTGTGGGGGGAGTTAGGGGGCAGCAGAGGGCAGGGGGCGGAGCTGGGGGTGATGCTGTGGGGGAGCTGATGGTCTGGTCCTGCAGGTGCTGGAGGGTGAGGCCGTGGGTATAAAGAGCTTTGGCTACTCCCTTTCGGGTGGCCTGGACGTGGATGGGAACCATTACCCGGACCTACTGGTCGGCTCCCTGGCCGACACTGCTGTGCTCTTTAGGTGAGCTCCTTCCTCTCCTCTGCCTCTCCCTGCCTGAGATCAGCTGGGCTCTTTCCCTGCCTCAGAGTCTCATGTTTCTTGTGCTTGACTCTCCATTCCCCAGGGCCAGACCCGTCCTTCATGTCTCCCATGAGGTCTTCATTGCTCCCCGAGCCATCGACCTAGAGCAGCCTAACTGTGCTGCTGGCCACTCGGTCTGGTGAGACGGGATCCAAGGGGAGGCAGGGAGATTTCAGGGCCCACTTTTCCCCATTCTCCCTTTCTCTGCCCAGTGTGGGGCTGGGGGCTGGGGCTGGGGGGGGCAGGAGTGAGGCGTTGGCCCATCAACCTGGCCTGGCTCAGGAGCTACCCTTGCCCCCACAGCGTGGACTTGAGGGTCTGTTTCAGCTACATTGCAACCCCCAGCAGCTACAGCCCTATTGTGGGTGAGTGAAGTCCTCCTCCCCTTTCCTGCCCCGTTGGGCCTCAGGGTGGGTCCCTCTGAGGTAGAGAGACGGGCATCTCAGGGATAGGGTCAGATTAGAGCCGTTCCCCAGCTCACTGGCTCTTCTCTTCTCTCCACATGTCACAGCCCTGGATTATGTGTTAGATGGAGACACAGACAGGAGGCTCCGGGGCCAGGTCCCCCGTGTGACCTTCCTGAGCCGTGGCCCAGATGACCCCAAGCACCAGGCCTCAGGCACCGTGTGGCTGAAGCACCAGCATGACCGAGTCTGTGGAGACACCATGTTCCAGCTACAGGTGGGCCCTGAACCCTTGGCCTCTGAGGGTCATTGTCATTGCATGACTTCTTTTCTTTGATTCTTTTTAGCTTCTTCCCTAACATGCTCACAGCTCATTCTTTGATCTCAACTTTTGGGAAGCCTCCCTTATGGGCTGACCTCTTCACCTGCGGCCTTCTTGTGTCTTCTGCCTTCTGTGTGCGGAGTACAAGTTCTATCCTCCCTGGAGATGGAGATGGCAGGTTCCCTTGTCATACCTGGTCCTCAAAAGCCCTGGATCCTGGTCTCCTCTCTTTTCCACCCCAGTCGCTCTCCCTCCCCCTCACTCTGGTCTCTACCTCTCTCTCTCTCATCTCTGCAAGCTTCTTGCCAAGTTTCAGAATCTGACCTAGGTCTGGCTGGGGCCTGAGGATTGTCCTAGTATCCATGTCCATCCTTCCTCTTCCCAGGAGAATGTCAAGGACAAGCTTCGGGCCATTGTGGTGACCTTGTCCTACAATCTCCAGACTCCACGGCTCCGGCAACAGGCTCCTGGCCAGGGGCTGCCCCCAGTGGCCCCCATCCTCAATGCTCACCAGCCCAGCACCCAGCGGGCAGAGGTGAGCATGGGTTCTGGCTTAGCTCAGGAGAAGGAGCTGGAAGGAGTAATGATCATCATCCCTCACAGTGACAAGCATTCATAGCTTCCAAAACTCTTTCACAGGCTACCCCAGCAGTTCCCCCTGTCTCTTGGTGTTGTGACAAGTAGACCACAAAATGGAAAATGGCTCAAGTGATCATGGGTTCCTCGTTAGAGGGGACACCGACCTTCCATTCTATGCATCCATTCAGGGGCCCGGGCTGATGGGGATCTGCCATCCTGAGATGTGGCCCCCGAGGTCCTTAGGTTGCCTCCATCCCTGTCAGCTGGAAGGGGGAGCATGAAGCTCCTTATACGGCTCTCCTGGCCAGCCTGGAAGTGATGCCCTTCACTTCTCTTCACATTCTAAATCCAGAATCGGTTACACGCAAGGGAGGCTAGGGAGATGTGGTCTCGCTGTGAGCTAGCCTGCTGGCCTCTACCTCAGCGTCATCACATGCTCGTTTTACTGAGGAGGACACAGCTCAGGGTGGTTCAGTGACCAGCTCAGTATCACACAGCTAGTAAGCAGCAGATCTGAGAGTTGAAACCCTGTTACTTAATCTTGTGATACTCCACCCCACTGTGTGCCTTGGCGACACATTCACCTCCTGCCTCACCCCTAGGAATGACCGTCTCCTCACATCTCTCCCTAGATCCACTTCCTGAAGCAAGGTTGTGGTGAAGACAAGATCTGCCAGAGCAATCTGCAGCTGGTCCATGCGCGCTTCTGTGCCCGTGTCAGTGACACGGAGTTCCAGCCTCTGCCCATGTGAGGGGGAGCGAGGGGGCAGGTGGGGTGGAAGGCGAGAGTTCAAGGAAGAGAAGGAATCGCCCTCAGGAGGCCAGGCCGAGGGGCGGGGCTGAGCTTGCAGACCGAGGGCGGAGGCTGATAATTCAGAAGATGAGGGTCAGCGATGGGGCCACAGAGGCTCTCCTGGCAAGGAATAACATGCCTGCACAGGACGTATAATAATACACAGTTTATGTGCAGCGCACTGTTTAGTCTCCCCAACCCAGTGAGGTAGGCATTATTATTAGCTCCTTTGTGGATGGAGAACGGGGGCCTAGAGAGGTTAAGCTCCTTGCCCCAGGTGAGGAAGTAGGGGAGCTTGGACCGGAACAGCGGTCTCCAGGCTCCCCGTCTGGTTCTCTTGAGTGTGGGAAGACCTGAGGCTTGGACTGGCATGGAGGCGGATGTGGGGGAGCCAGTGGGAGGGGAGACCAGGGAGTGGAGGCAGGCAGCATGCCCCGGGCGGGGAGCGGGCAGGAGAGGGAGAGGCAAAGGAAGATGTTCAGATTTAGAGTGTGAGTGGGATCTGACCTCCAGGGATGCAGATGGGACGACAGCCCTGTTTGCCCTGAGTGGGCAGCCGGTCATTGGCCTGGAGCTGACGGTCACTAACCTGCCCTCGGATCCAGCCCAGCCCCAGGCTGATGGGGACGATGCTCACGAAGCCCAGCTTCTGGTCACCCTCCCTGCCTCTCTGCACTACTCAGGAGTCCGCGCCCTGGACGCTGCGGTGAGGGCCTGCGGCAGGGTGGGGTGGGGTGTTGGGGGCTCTCCGGTAATCCGGACTGACCTCTCCTCCTTTCCGCACTGTAGGAGAAGCCGCTCTGCCTGTCCAATGAGAATGCCTCCCATGTCGAGTGTGAGCTGGGGAACCCCATGAAGAGAGGTGCCCAGGTTGGCATGTCAGCCCTTATCCCTGTCCGAGAGCCTCTCTAAGCCCTGACCCCTTCTCCAGCCCCTAGCCTTCCCTGACTCTAATCACTCTCCGCTCTTGGCCTAGGTCACCTTTTACCTCATCCTTAGCACCTCAGGGATCACTATTGAGACCACAGAGCTGGAAGTGGAACTGCTCTTGGCCACGTGAGCCTGGGGGGGCCAGGGGGTGGTGAGGGTAGGGTCAGCTGGGTTGATGTCCACCTGGATGGGGCTCTGCTGTTTTCATCGGAGCCCTTGGGGTGGCGCCTATGCCCCATTGCCCATGTGTGCTCCTGCCCACACGCCAGAATCAGCGAGCAGGAGCTTCATCCGATCTCTGTCCAAGCTCGTGTCTTCATTGAGCTGCCGCTGTCCATCACAGGGTAAGCTCTGCCCAAATGGGCACATCGGCTGGAGGGGTGGGCATTGCTACTCCCAAGCCCTGGCCTGGGCTCTGCCTCCTGACCCTCTAGTCAGCCAGGCCCCAGGCCTCCTCAGCACCCCATTCTGACCCTTCCATGCCAGGCTGGCCATTCCCCAGCAGCTCTTCTTCTCTGGTGTGGTGCGGGGTGAGAGTGCCATGAAGTCTGAGCGGGATATAGGCAGCAAGGTCAAGTATGAGGTCACGGTGAGTGTCCTGGTAAGGCCCCTGGTCAGGTCCCTCCCTTCTTGGCCCAGAGAGAGGCTGAGACATGTCCCAAGGCTGTGGTTCTTCCACCCTATGGGGGCATGATGGTCCAGCACGTTCAAGGCCTCCCCTTGCTCCTGGACCTTGATTGTGGGCAGGTGTTTGTGTTGGGGCCTCGACTGACCATTTCCTGGTCATCCCTGTGTGGACATGTTACCTGCTGGTCTGGGTAGGCCATGAGGGTCCAGGGAAGCTTTCGTGCCAGGGGCTTTAGCTGGGGGATGGGGACAGTGGGGGAAGGCTGATGTCTCTCCTTAAAACTGCCTGTGCTTGGCTGGGGCCTCCCCACCCTCGTAGGGACATCTCCAGGCCTTCCTGGCTTTGGCGTAGGCAGAGAATGTTGCCTGGTGGGGTTTAGGATCCCAAGTCTTCGTTGGGATTCTGCTTCCTGAGGCCTTCCCCTCAGCCCTTGTCCCCTCTGTCTCTGCAGATTTAAGGCCACTCAGAAATGGAGCACCCTCCCTTCACACTCCCTTCTGCCCACAGGTCTCCAACGAAGGCCAGTCACTGAACACCCTAGGCTCTGCCTTCCTCAACATCATGTGGCCCCATGAGATAGCCAACGGGAAGTGGCTGCTGTACCCCATGCGGGTGGAGCTGGAGGGCGGGCAGGGGCCCGGGCAGAAGGGGCTCTGCTCCCCGAGGCCCAACATCCTCCAGCTGGTGAGGCTTAGGCAGGGTGGTCAGGGCCACTGAGGCAGGGTGGAGGGGGGTTAGACTTTGGGAAGGACGTCATGGCGGCTGTGGGAGGCTGTGGGGGCCCAGGGGGAAGGCAGTGGGGAGGAGATGGCATCTCAGGATGGCTGTGTTGGGAGGGACGCTCACTGCTCCCACTCCCCGCATCCAGGACGTGGACAGCAGGGACAGGCGGCGACGGGAACTGGAGCAGCCGGAACAGGAGGAGCATCCTGAGCAGCTGGAGCCCAGCACGTCCTGGTGGCCGGTGTCGTCCGCCGAGAAGAAGAAAAACATCACCCTGGTGAGGACAGGGCAAACACGGTACAGTCCGAATGAGGGGCGGGGCTGTTGGTGATGTGACAGGGGGTGTGGGGGGCAGGGAGCTTTAGGGGGGGCTGGGCGTCCAGGAGGCTGGCCTGTTGACAGGTGTGATGGTCACACACCTGGAGCGAGTTGACAAGACAGTTTATATCACACCCGTGAAGCAGCTGCTGACACCACGGGTCCCCCCTGTGACCACCAAGTATTCACTCCAGAGCAGTGCCCTTGGCCTGCAGCCAGTTAGCCACACAATCAATTACTTGTTGGGCATAGTTTGGTTCTTTAAGTGGATGTATTGAGCCAATAAGCACGCGCTCTGTGCTCTTCCCTTGTAGGACAGTGCTGCCGGTGGGTGTGGAGGGGACAGACTGGGGGGTATTTGGCCTGGCTGCAAGGAGGCGGAGACCTGGGTGTGGAAGGTTGGGCGATAGAAGGAGTCAAAGAGACTGTTGGCGGGGGTGGGGGGGGATGTGAACAGTTGGGCTGGGCCTGGCGTCGTCTGTCTGGGGAGGAGCTCCACTGTCACACCCTGTCTCTCGTGGGGGCCCTCAGCTTCCCTGCTCCCGGAGAGCATGGCAGGAGGCCACACGAAGGCGCGTGGGGGTACCGTGAACTTGCATCATGCTAGGTTCCCTGTCACGGGTATCATCCTGCCTTCTCCATGTGGCTGATTTCCCCTGAAAGGCCTCCCTTTCTAATAATAAGAACTTTGATTTTTTCACTTAAAATTGCCTTTAGACAAACTGGCCAAGGATTCTTGAGTTGCTCAAAAGTGGCAAAATAAAAGATGATTCAAAGAATTCAAATGCTCTCAAAGGCCTTCTCCTGTACACGAAGTGTGGTGAATATAACACAATTTTTAGGCGACTGGATCATCAGGTGGGATTGGGCCAAACGGATGTAGGTGAGACCTGGAAGGAGCAGGGCTTAAGTCCCCGGTGCCCCAGCAGCTCCTGGGACAGCCTCCTCCTCCTTCAGTGGGTTTGGGCTTAGCATAGGAGTGTGGCTTTGCCCGACATGGACCTGGATTCAAATATCTGTTCTTTTTTTTTTTTAGATTTTATTTATTTATTTGAGAGAGAGAATGAGATAGAGAGAGAGCACGAGAGGGAAGGGGGTCAGAGGGAGAAGCAGACTCCCTGCTGAGCAGGGAGCCCGATGCGGGACTCGATCCTGGGACTCCAGGATCATGACCTGAGCCGAAGGCAGTCGCTTAACCAACTGAGCCACCCAGGCACCCCAAATATCTGTTCTACCACTTACCAGCTTGCTAGCTGTGCAGCCTGAGCCAGGTCACCTGGCCTCTTTTCTTTTCTTTTTTTTTAAGAATTTATTTTTAAGGGCGCCTGGGTGGCTCAGATGGTTAAGCGTCCACCTTCGGCTCAGGTCATGATCCCAGGGTCCTGGGATCGAGTCCCGCATCAGGCTCCCTGCTCCTTGGGAGCCTGCTTCTCCCTCTGCTTCTCTCTCTCTCCATCTCTCATGAATAAATAAATAAAATCTTTAAAAAAAAGAATTTATTTTTAAGTAAGCTCCACACCCAACGTGGGGCTCAAACTCACAACCCCAAGATCAAGAGTCTCAAGCTCCACTGACTGAGCCAGCCAGGTGCCCCCTCCCCTTTTTTTTAAGTAATTTCTTTGGCCAACAAGGGGCTTGAACTCATGACCCCGAGGTCAAGAGTTACATGCTCTACGGACTGAGCCAGTCAGGCACCCTGCACCTGGCCTCTTTGAACTTTAATTTCCTAGTTTGGAAAATTAGGAAATGAGGATGATAATAATATGCATCTTGCAGGATGGATTTAATAAATACCTTACAGCTAGGAGATGCTCAGTAAACGGGACCGTTGTTATATAACATAAGCATTAACTGGGAAACTACTCTGCTGCTGCTGTCAAATAAGAGACCTCCTCCCTGCTCCCCATGTATTTCAAGGTCAGATAGACCAGATTTGGGGTAGGCTGCTCTTTTGGACCATGGGGTTAGTTCGGGAGGACTTCCTGGAGGAGGTGAGTTTGAGGTCGGCTAAGGAAAATGGGAGAGATATGAGTGAGGAACAAGGGCAATAGGGGGTCCAAGGTGTGGGATCTCATGGATGGACGGACGAAGCGAAGTCTCGGCAGATTCTGTGTCTGTGTGAGCGCATATGTGAGGCTGCTGGGCCCTGGGGAGGCTCAGTGGGCGGGGACCACGTGGCTCAAAGCCCTGCCTGTCCTGGTCCCTAGGACTGTGCCCGGGGCACTGCCAACTGCGTGGTATTCAGCTGCCCTCTCTACAGCTTTGACCGCGCCGCTGTGCTGCACGTGTGGGGCCGCCTCTGGAATAGCACCTTCTTGGAGGTAAGGGCACCGTGGCGGTGGGGCGGGCATCTTCTTCCCCAGCCGTCCCTCTGGGACTCACTGCTCTTTCTGCCTTCTCCCTGTCCAAGTGCAGCACACTCTTAACCCAGGACGGGCAGAAATGCCCTCTGTATTGGGCACCGTGGCACTTGGAATTTCAGGAGCGGGGGCGGGGCCGGGGGCACTAAGGAGAAGGCTGCCTTCTCTGCTCCCGTAGGAGTACTCGGCTGTGAAGTCCCTGGAGGTGATCGTCCGAGCCAATATCACCGTGAAGTCTTCTGTCAAGAACTTGCTGCTCAGAGATGCCTCCACGGTGGTGAGCTGCAGGCCTGGTGAGGTTGGGGTGGGGAAGCTCTTCTTCCCTCTGCTCCGGTCCTTGTTCCCTGAACCCTTCATTCCCCAGATCCCCGTGATGGTTTACCTGGACCCTGTGGCTGTGGCCGCAGAAGGAGCCCCCTGGTGGGTCATCCTCCTGGCCGTCCTGGCTGGGCTGCTCGTGCTGGCGCTGCTGGTGCTGCTCATGTGGAAGGTGCGGCTCGGGGAGGCGGCGCTGGTGGGGGGCTGGGCTTCCCCGTCAGGCGGGAGGCCCTCCATGCGTTGGTTCTCTGTCTCACCCGCTCTTTCATTTATCGGCCCATCGACACTGAAGGCTTGTATGTCCCAGGGACTGGGTCGGGCTCCGGAGTTTCAGAGAGAAGTCAGATGCAGATGCTGACCTCCGGGATTTGATGGGCTAGTGGGGGAGGTGAGCCTTGCAGGAAGGACCAGGCGGAAGGCGCTAGGGCGAGCGAGTGCAGGGGGAGGTAGAGGTGAGAAAGCTGGAGAGCAGGTGGCTTAGAAGAAGGTGGGGTCATAGGATCTGGAGGTGGGAGATGAGGTGGGTGGGCCCATGGGAGGCAGAGCCACAGAGGCAGGGAAGTGGGGGCTGATTTAACAAGAGCATGGCAGGAAGGCTGGGAAGGCAACTGTGATAAAGAAGACACAGCAGCGGGGAGAACAACCTCCAGGGACTGCCTCCAGCACGGAACTCAGAACCTTGGCGTAGCAGGCTCTACGTGGAACCGTCTTCAAACACAGAGAGTGTAGACAGAATCCCCTTTGTGTCTGGGGTTCCACCTAAAAGCACACACGTGCACATGTCAGTACAGGGAACCACATCCACCACCCTTCGTCAGACCCTGAACCACATGCCACATCTGGGCAATTGGAGGACCATGCATGTCTTTGGGGCCCTCTGGAGAACTGCCCCCGGTCCTCCCCGGACCAGGTGCAGACGAAGCGCACTGTTTGGTAAATGTGAGTCATCAATGGACCAGGCCTCTGGCTGAGCATCCAAAGTGTGGGGAACCTGGCCAGTCTTCGGGGACTTCATGAAACTGGCTCCAGAATCCCTGCCCCCTGCTTTCTTGGAAGGGGGACGGAATAGAGATAAGGGCCCCCACCCACCCCTCCTGAGTCTTCCCATGCTCCACCTCTTTTGCTCCTCCCCGCCCTTGACATCCCAGTGTGGCTTCTTCCATCGGAGCAGCCAGAGTTCATCTTTTCCCACCAACTATCACCGGGCCCATCTGGCTGTACAGCCCTCGGCCGTGGAAGCTGGGGGCCCGGGGACTGTGGGGTAATTGTGCGTGTGCATGTGTGTGTGCGTGTGAGTGTGTATGTGTGAGTAGAGCCCCCAGCATTCAGGGGACCAGGGTGAGGAAATGAGATTGCACGGGGGTGGTGTGGAACGGGGGTGGAAGGTAATTATAAGGGGGGTTTTATAAGGGTGAGTACACACAACCTGAGGCATGCACAAAGGGGTGGCCGGGCTCATGCAGTATGAGCATGTGGAGGTGCAGGAAGGTGCCATGCATGGCTTTTCTGTGGGCATGAGTGTGCAAAGACAAATGCACAAGGACATGCCGTGCAGTCTGAGCATGTAGGAGCCTTGGGTGGTCCTGAATGTGAGTGTGCAAGGGGCATATTTCCACCTCCGTATAGAAGGGCCAATGTGTTCATGATGTAGGGCGGGGCGAGGTCACCATATTCATGGACTTGAGAGGGCCCTGCCCCGAGGGAAATGCTGTTTGAGTACACGGGGTGTGTGTCTGAGGCTCGAGAGGAGTCATTCCCAGTATGCAGGGGTCTAGGAAGTCATTTTTTTGTCTCAGATCTTGTTTATGTTCTGGGGCATGCTGTTGGGTCTCTTAAAAAGCTTGGGTGGGGTCAGCGGTCCTGCTGTTCCATCTTCAACCCCCTCTTTCCGGAGCCCAGGGAGATGTCCTTGGTCCTGCACCTTTGGCCCCTCCTGGTCTTTTCTCTCGCCGTGGGGGAGGACCTGGGGGCCCGGCATTAATTGTGGCACCTGCGGGGGCCACGCACCGCACGGGATGCTGTTCCACCCAGCTCCTTTCTGCTGTGGTTGGTACTTTCTCCCCCACTCATGGCGGAGGCAAGGTGCTGGGCTGTGCTGGGCATCTGCTCCAGGGCCCTCAGCCCTGCAGGCTCCTCATGTCTGGCCTGGGGTCGTTACAGATGGGATTCTTCAAGCGGGCACAGTACCCCGAGTCCACTGTGCCCCAGTACCACGCGGTGAAGATCCCGCGGGAAGACCGGCAGCAGTTCAAGGAGGAGAAGACCGGCACTATCCTGAGGAACAACTGGGGCAGCCCCCGGCGGGAGGGCCCCGATGCGCACCCCATCCTGGCTGCTGATGGGCACCCTGAGCCAGGTTCCGATGGGCATCCCATGTCGGGCACCACCTAGCTCCTTGGGTCCCAGCCTGGCCCATGGGTCCCCTCCACCCTTTCCCCCGACATGGCTCCTTGGGATGAAGAGGGTAGAGTGGGTTGCTGGTGCCCCATCAGGATGTGACAGGATCTGCTTCCTCAGGGGCATAGGCATACGCCCCCAAGGAACACCTCCCAAAACTTCCCTCAGAACAGTGTGTGATGAGGGCAGTAAATCAGGAATGGGGTTGTGGAGTAGGGGAGAAGGGCAGTGATGTCCTGATGCAAACGTGGGAGAAGGGACCCTGATCCCTCCCTCTCCTATTCACCCTGTTTAACAGGACCCCACGGACCTGTCCCCCCTGAAAGTGCCTTAAGCCCGGAGGGTTGGGGAGGAGGTTGTGTTGCTGACTCAGGGGCTCTTCCCTCCATAGTTTCCCCTCTCCTCTGACCTTAGTTTGCTGCATCAATCTAGTGGATTTTGTCTATTTATTAAAAAATATTTGAGGACAAAACCTCTGGCTTCTTTGCTGAGTCCTGCTCCCCCTCGGCCAGGGTCTGCAGGAGAGGACTGCTTCCCTCTGTAAGCCCCACAGCTCAGGACAAAGGTGGTAGTGGGAGGGAGGGCCGGGGGACCCAGCACGGGCACATGGGTGTGGTCTCAGATGAAGAGGAGGGGGACCTTTACTAATGGGAACAAGGGAACCGCCCTAGCAGCGGGTGGGCAAAAATTGGGAGACCCAGTCTAGGGATTTGCAGTCAAGGACATGGCGAGACATCGCTTTCCTCCCTGTGGTCAGGTTAGGAATAGAGCCTTCTCACTTTGGCAGGAAGGACTGAAGTTAGACGCGGGGGCAGAGATGGGGGAGGGCAGAAAGGGGCGGTGGGGGGAATGGCTTCTCTGCCTAGATCCCCCTCAGTAGAAGACAGGTTAGGTGGTAGGTGGGATTGCTCTGGCCGGAGGCAGGACTCGAGAAGGGTTATTTCACAGCCTCTCCCATGATGTGGGGCCCGATAGGCAACCACCTGAAGAGAGGGGGATGTTGTTCCATTTGGAGTTGAGAGAACTGGGCGCTCTCGAGGTCCTTCCAGGTCTCTCTGGTGAGGCAGCAGCCGTCCTCCAGGTGGGCTCTGAAACTTGCTGCCACAGGAAGGCCCAGCTTCCACGTGGCTCAGCCACACGCTCCCAGAAAAAGAACGCTCCTCCCTGGGAGAGCAGAGAGAGTTAGCGTCCCTTCTTTGCTCCATTCTACAACATCCTCTGCCCTCACCTCCACCCCGCGGACCACGCCCGGTCAGACCTCTCGGTGAGGCGGGGGTTGCTGGTCAGCAGGTTCATGAAGCACATCACTGCTTCTGACTTTCTCCGGAGCCCCTGGCCCCTACCCGCCCAGTCAAAAGCGCATCTAAAGAAGTGGGGGTGACTGGTGAGCGATCTTTAAATCAGGGCCAGGGGGGACAGCCTAGCCGAGGGCAGACAGATGGGGAGCTGGAGAGACAGGAGCAAAGATCTCACCCAGAGATGTGTACAGAGATGCTGTCTTCTGAGACTCAGACACATACATCCAACCTTATCCTGTGGCTGACATCCCGGGGAAACCTTGCACCTGACTTGTGACTAATGCTGCGGTTCCTTCAGCCCTTTGCTTCTTGCTGAACCCTCTCTAGGTGATCTCATGCACCCCTGTGCTCTGAATTTACCAGCTACAAGCTGGTGACTTCCACGTCTCTACGTGCAGGCCACATCTTTCTCTGACGTCCCCCAGCCTCTATGGCTTTTCTGCCTGCCTGTCTCAGTGGCACCTCAGACCCAACGAGTCCCAAATGCATTCCTCTCATTTCAGCAACTGACACTTCCCTCTACCCTCCTTCTTCCCCTCCACCAGTCACTGATACCAGAAACTTGGAAACCATTCTAAACTCCTTTCCACACCCAGGTCAAAATCTCACAGGTTCTATGTCCTCTAATATCTCTATCTAGAACCCTTTTTTATTTTCCCCTCTCCTCCACATCCGGCTCAGTCCCTCAGATCTCAGTGTAAACATCCCTTCCTTAGGTGTCTTTCCCCCCTCTCTCTATCCCCCCCCAACTGCTGCGTTAGGGGCATCTCCCGTGGGCTTCCGCAGCACCCTATTCTGCCCCAGCGAGGCCCCGGTCATGTTCACTGTTCCCCAGCAGGTGGGGGTGGATGGGTGTCTAACGTGCTAGCACGCAGGAGTCCCTACCCCGGAGCGGCCAACGCTGCGTTTGCCTGCCCCACGCCCGTTCCCCCTCCGCGCTGCTCACCGGCCTCAGCACTCTCTGGACCTCCTGCAGGGCCCTCCTTCGACTCTGCACAGAGCACAGCACCTGACCACCACATCCATGCAGCCATCCGCCAGTCCTTTCACGTCTGCTCGGAAGACACCACGAACTGTTCATATTGGAGATGTTTGTTCTCAGCCATGCTCTTTGTCAGGAACCTCTCAAAGTGGGGGTTTGGGTCCAGGCAGGTGATCCTGCAGCCCACTTGGTAGAACTGGAAGTTGGCACCGGTGCCGCAGTCCAGCTCCAGCAAGGCCACCTTCCCGGAGGCTCCCATAAGCCCCTTTATTTGGCCAAAGAGGTCCTGTTTCTTACTCCCCATCTTGCGGTTGCACTTGGCAGTCAGCCCAGCCATCAGGTAGGGCAAGCCGATTTTGCACAGGGGCCGCCAGCAGCCCAGCAGAGCCATCAGGTGCAGGGGCAGCGTGAGGAGCAGGACCAGCAGCTGCAGGAGGTGCACCAGGGCATCCATGACACGCCGGCTCGGAGCTGCGCTTCCGTTGGGATGCTGGCCTTCTCACTCTCTCCCATGCCCTAGACAGGAGTCTCTCCGCCCTCCGCGATGGGACTTTGTTCCCTGTGTCCTACTTGTCAACTTTCTCTTTGCCAGCGTATGAAGGGTACATGGAATGCTTGCAGAAGACGCAGGTACTCTGGCCCCATAGTTTTATGTGGGGGGAGCCGGTGTCCCGAGTGGTGCTAGTGTCCTGAGTTCTGGGGTGCTGCCAGTTGAGGGTAGGGGTGTGATCATTTCAGAGAGGAGTGGGAAGGGCGAAGGGGGACAGGTCTCAGATCACAGCTTCATGGGGGCCAAATGCTGGGACAGAGCTGACTCATGGGCATGTGCTGGCCTCATTTTGTCCCCAGGATCTGTTCAGGTTATGCAAGCTGGAAAATCTGGTTGGGTTCCCCTGGCACACCCCCAGGGCTCTGTAAACTGTAACATGCCTTTGCCCCAGATTGAAGCCCAGCACAGAGGATTCAGGGGAAGGCCAGATTGGTCAGGAGAAGAAGGGAGATTGCAGGTCAAAAGAAAGGCATTTTTTCAACTGACCGGTTCAAGATCACAGTGCCCCAGCAATAGAAGAAAAGAAGGGAGAAAATGGCAGCGTGGAGAAGCCCAGGTCCCAGAGTTAGTTCTAACATTGTAACTTGCTGAGTTTCTTTGGGCAAGTCTTTTTCCTTTCTGGGCTCCAGTTTCTCAACTGTAAAATGGGGAGATGAAGAGAGATTAGATGGTCCTCCCATAGTTTCTAAGGTCTCGCCCTGCTCCTACATTCGTGTGATCTAAGGAGAGTGGGGGAAGACAGGAAGCAGGTGACCCTAGCTGTCCTCACAGCCCAGGACCATACTCCCGACGCTTCGGTCCCAGGCTACAATGGAGGCAGACCAGAGTTCGGGGTGACAGGCGACTTAGCAGAAAGTCTCCAAATTATTATGCGGTGGCTCCTCTTTTGGCTGAAGCCTCCCTCAGAAGCTTGGGGGAAGCTCCCCACGGACAGTTCCACAGGCTACCCACCAATTGCATAGTGGCCAAAGGAAATTTTGTATAGGAAAAAGAAAATCAACAGCTTGGCATTATACAAGAGGGAAATTACAATAGTCTAAAATCTCATGAGTAGCATTTCCCAGGGCCACTGATGGCTTCTGGGGGAAGACTGAGTTTAAACAAAGTCCCGGGTTGAGAGGGGTGCTCTGTCAAAGCCCACTGCCTCTGCCCTCCAGTCAAACCCACCAGTGGATCTGCTCCGGTAGGTGGGGGCCTTAAGAGAAGAGGTGTGGGGACAACTCCTGAGTCAGGCAGGGATGAGCTATTTCAGGAAAGTGTCTTTTCCCCCACAGAGCTGCCCGAGCCAGGGGCAGCCCCCGTGCTGCTGGTCAGGTGAGAGGTTCTGTGACCCCACAGTCAGACACATTCTTCTCTGGGCTTTGCTTCTGTTGTGACTGTAAGGGAGGCAGCAATTCTCCCCATAGCAGGGGAGCTCACGGAGGAAGTAGCAATGATCCAAGCCCAGTCAGAACACGGTGTGGGCGCGGAGTGCCTTTCTGCTGTAGTGAAGAGTCAGGGGTAGCCGAGCCAACTCGGGGACAAGAGAGGCTCCTCAGAGCGGGGATAGGAAAGGAAGGGTGTTCCCGGCAGAGGAAAAAGCAGGTGTATGGACAGATGCCGCCTGCCCCTTTCTGGAATGGGTGAGCAGCTCAGTTTAGTGGAGAATGGGTGAGCTGCAGAAGTGGTGGGAGGTGAGGTCAGAGAGAAGTCGCTCCGTAGAGGGTTCTTTTTGCTTTTAAAAGAATCATTAAACTCTTTTCTGGAAAAGGTAATACATTCACATGGCACAAAATTTAAGAGGTACAAAGGGACTAGAGAGAAAATTCTCTCTTCCACTTTAGTCTCTCAATGACTCAGATCCCCCCTCTGGAGGCACCAAACATCACAATAGCAATTTCCTGGAATCTTTCTGGAGATGGAGATGATCTGCGAAATAGCAGATGACACACCCATCCCACATTTAGATGCACACACACACATGTGTCTACATGGTCCTCTTTCTTTACACAAATGGTAGTACATTGTACACACTCTTGAATACCTTGCTTTATTGGGTTTAGCAGAGACTGCTCAAGAGTCTTCCAAAGTGGCTATTCCAATTTACACTTCCACTAGTAACATTTGGTGTTAGGCATCTTTTATCTATCAATCAATCAATCTATCTATCATCCATCTATCATCTATCATCTATCTATCTATCATCAATCATCTATCTATCTATCATCTATTATCCATCTATCATCTATCATCAATCATCTATCATCTATCTATCTATCTATCTATCTATCTATCTATCTATCTAATCATCTATCTATCATCTCTACTCACTCATTCATATTATTATTGACTCACAGATTTCCTGTTTTATTCAATGGGCTGTAGCCTAATACCCTCTTTGTAGAGTTTTAATGATGTATAATTATGCATAAGAAAGCATACATAGCTATGGTGTATGCTTGATGGGTTTTGACATATGAATACATCTGTGAAACCATTACCACATTCAACACAGTGAACATGTGTACCAACCATGAGAGTTTCCTCACATCTTTTTGCAATCCATCCTTCCCTCTTTCATCCCCATCCTCAGGTAACCACTGGTCTGCTCTGTCACTATAGATTAGTTTGCATTCTCTAGAATTTTATATAAATGGAATCTT